TTAGCTTTGGGACCCTATTTGGACTCTGCTAATACAGACATTACTGCACTACTACAATCCAGACGCCAGACCGTGGATCTACTCAAGGGAAATTTAAAGCATGCTCAAGAAAGGATGAAATGGTTCGCAGACCAGCACCGTTCAGAAAGAGAGTTTAACGTTGGAGAAGAAGTTTACCTGAAATTGCAGCCTTTCAGGCAGAACTCTGTGGTTTTACGCAAAAACCTTAAGTTGTCCAACCGCTACTATGGACCTTACCCAATTATTGAGAGAATTGGTAAGGTTGCCTACCGCCTACAACTGCCACCTGATGCCAAAATTCACAACGTTTTTCATGTATCCTTGCTTAAGAAGAAAGTGGGAGTTCGTTCTACTACAGTTGATTCTTTACCTTTGACTGACGATGATGGCTGCCTGCGCACACTGCCGATAAAAATCTTGCATACTCGCTCAGTTACTATCAATGGGGTTTCAGTTCCACAGGTTCTTATTCAGTGGGAGAATTTACCAATTGATCAAGCTACTTGGGAGGATCTATCTGATTTTCAGGCTAAATACCCGACATTCAATCCTTGGGGACAAGGATCATCTACAGGGGGGGGTAATGTCATAGCCTTGAAGGATTGGGGCTGCAAGAAGAAGAGGAAGAGGGGAGATTCAAAAGGGAAAGAGAGTGCGCGAATTCAAATGATTGGAGCGGAGGGAATTAGGGCTGTGAAGAACGACATCGTTTTGGTTGGAAAGGAGAACGACACCGTTTTAGAGGAAGGAGCGCGTGAGGAAAAAGATGCTGAATTACTCGCGCGCGTGTAGGCAAAACAAGCTGCTGGAAACTACTAGTTGAAGGACACGTGTTTTAATTTTATTTGTTAAGAATGAATATTTTTATTTTGGCAGAAACCGTTATATGTAGCCAGAAAAGATGATTTGGGAATTAATCAGAAAAAGTTATTTTCTCTCTCTATTCTTGTCTTCTTCTATCTCTCATCTCTCTCACTTCTTATCTATCTTTCTTCTTCCCCAAGTTCCACCATTACTGTCTACCAAGCTTTTACAGATATTATATATTTAAATTACATATATATATATAGGCAGGATCTGACACAATAGCATTACGAATTAACTACAAACGAAAAATAATGCGTAAATTAAAGAAATAATACATTTGATTTGAGGGCTTAATGCTTCAATCTTCAGTAGCGGCAAGAGAACACTTGTTGAACAGAGAGTAGCAGCGGCGGTGGAAGCAAAAAATCAGAAGGGGGAAAAGAGAAGACATAACTAGGGTTTTTTTGGGGGCTTTGTTTGCCTCATTCGGAGAAGCAAGGCCTCCGTTCAACGGCGCCGACCACATCCGTTATTGGAAATTCGGCACCGGCCAGTTTGACCACAGTCAACGCTGATATCTCCATTCGCCTCCGCCATTAGGGTTTGATCGGAGTTGTGGACGATGCTAAATTCTTATCCATGGTGGATTAATTTCATAACCGACCCAATAAAAAACTTTTTTACTTATAATTGATATTTCAAATATTTATTTATTATTATTAAATAGGGTGGAGATCAGATGCAACGGAGTGCACCGTAGCCAGAATAATCATCTGATTTTCAACGCAAACCAACGGCTGTGATTTGTGAGATCCTATCTATCCTTCCTAGCATTGGTTCCACAGAAAACTTAGCCCACTGGGCCGGGCTAACCATTCTTTCTAGTCCAATTGCAGTGTCTTGGACCATTTATTTATGTAAGGGCGGAAATCGAACGAATCAAATCGAATTTTTCTAAAAAAATGTAATTTGTTGAAAATTTTAATAAAAAAACTTTGCCGAAATTTGGAAAAAAACCCATTTTTAGTATATATAATAATATCGATGCTAGTAGTGTAATTTTAGAAAAAATAATCAGAAATTTTCGGGAATAAAATCTGATCGAAAATCTGAATCTTCAGACTGGAATTGGCGGAGTTCGGAAATTCCGTTCAAAATTTCACCCTTATATATATATATATATATAAGAAGTAAAATAAAATTAAGTTCTCATAGACAAAGAAACCCTAAATTCTTTCCCTATTTTCAAGGATAAAAATAAAAATCACACACAAGACAATTAATTAACTTTATTTAAATCTCATTGACTATCAAATTACCGATCAAGAGTGGAAAGTGTGAGCACGCGTGAAGAAGAAGAAAATTGATCGCCAATGAATTTGACACTCTCATTTATTTTGAATTATTATTTATTTATTTTTTTAGAATTTTTTTATCTATAAATAGCCTCCAAATGAAGCCAAATACTGCAAACCAAAATCAAAAGCCAATTTGTTATAAGCTAAAATGGGCTTAAAATCACCTCTTGTTATGTTTAGCTTCTTCTTCTTGGTTGTGGCAATTACAATAATGCCACTAGCTGAAGGACAATTGCTTGGGGGGATTCTTGGCCCTCTCTTCGGCTTATTGAGAATACAAGGAATTGTCTATTGTACCCCTAATGGCAACATTGGTGTCAACGGCACTGCCACCCCTGCTTTCCCTAGTAAGTTTCCAATCAAGGCTAAAACCGTCATTTAAATATGTCACAAAAAACTATTATATATGTAGTGTAACTTAAACCAACCCCTGAGGTATGGTCAAATTACAAAAAAAACCCCTCATATTTGGATAATTACAATTATCCCTAATTATGAATCTTCTTACACGTCCCATTATGGTGCCAAATTCAACCTAATCTTCTAGATTCAATGGAATGATCTCTAGTTCGTACTCGTTTTGCAAAAAATCAGTGTTTTTATGTACCACGATCTAATATATACAAGTCAAAAAACACATCTTATTATCATCTTGCTTCAAAATGTGGAGCTCGAACGAGATAAAACGGATATAAAATTGAAAATATTTCATATAATCTAGATGATTCCATTAAATCTGACACCGCAAAGCTGAACATGTAAAAAAATTTATAGTTAGGGGTGGTTGTAATTATCTAAACATAAATATTTTTTTTTCTTCATAATTTGACCACATCAGAGGTGGTTGTAATTTAGACCTATATGTATATATATTTTTATATAAAAAGAATATTATTTTATGAGTAATATATTATTTAATTTATTTCATAAATAAAAAATTCGAGTTTACATATCCATGCATGTGATTTTGTGAGACAAACAAATTAAATTAATAAGATAATAAATTGAAACATGATTTAATAATTAATATAATTGCAGATGCATTAGTGCAACTGCGGTGTGGAGGAACCGTGATATCCACCGCCACAACAAACGGATCTGGAGTATTCTCTATACTATTGGACCCACTCAACTTTATCCTCTCCACGCTTCTGTCAGGCTGTAGACTCGCCGTTAACACGCCGTTAGCATCTTGCAACGCCGCTTTGCCGTCGGTGGGCGGCCTCGTTTCTAACCTTCAGTTCATCGGAAACACCTTCGCCGGACTATTGAACGTCGGAAACCTCATCCCTAGTGGTTTCTTGTTCAATGCTAGTGTCAATAACTGATTATTAAAATATATGCCACACTCATCATGCATGCATGGGATTATCTCTCTCTCTCTCTCTCTCTCTCTCTCTCTCTCTCTCTCTCTCTCTCTCTCTCTCTCTCTCTCTCTCTCTCTAATATAAATATTCTATATATAAGCCATCAATAAGTGATACTATTCACTTAGAATGAATTTATGTTTTTGTCATGGGTTTTTTAATTTTGCAAAAAGTGTGGTAATAATTTATTATATATGTGTAATCCAAGTTTTTGATTGTATTTGTGACACCATCTTATATATATATTATGACAACTTGGATCTAGTAGATTCGTGCACATGGATTAGTTTTCGATTTTGTGTCCATCGATGGCTCGTTCAGTTACCGCTATAAGATTTTATTGACTAAATAGTAAGGGTTAATAACAAGTCAGGTTGGCATAAGATTCACATTTTTTCAAAACCGCTACTAAAATCAAAATAACATGCTACTATTTCATTAAATTAGTAGCACCTCTCTCCCGATATTACTTAATTCAATAAGGAGTGGCTAGCTAAACAGAAAAAAAAGACAAATTTATCCTTAAAATCATATCTTATTATTGTAACTAAGTGGTTTTACAGAAAATTCGTATATAACAACTGAATTTAACAAATTTAATATAAGATCTAATTTAAGAAACCGAACATACTACTAACTAATTTATTAATTAACCAATATAGAGTTAATGAATCTCATCTAATCCAATTTGATCCAATATAGATAATCGAACGGGCCCTCAATCTAAAAGTTAATAGTTTGTTTGAGTTCGGTATGTGTATTAACATAAATTACCAAATCTGGACAGGAACATATGTTTTCGTTCGATAATTTATGAAGCTCACCTTAAACTCGAGCTCGATTTGATGAGGAAAAAGAAATGATAAAATATGTATACCAAGCTTGCTACTCGAGTTCGATGTTTGTTAGGCTTCGATGAAAGCTCGGTCGAGTTCATCTAAATTGCTAGTTACACCGATCGATCTGGGACACAACTTTTAAAGCTCGATAAAACTCAAAATTGCTAATTCGAGCGTGGCTTAAAAAAATAGCTATTCCCCCTAGGATGGACCAGCTTGGCTTAGATATATAGCTAGGGGGATGATTTAATGTATCATGTGTAGAAAAGAATTCTTTTGACTTATTACAAGGGTAAAATTAAATATGACATCATAGAACTTGAATCTAATGAAATCCAGACAGTTAGAAAAAAATCTAATTTTTTATTTTTTAATTTAATTTTTTTTATATTTATTTTTATATTAATGAAGAAAGAAGGAACAGCTTGAAAAAAAATAATAATTGAAGTGAGGTGTGAGATCTGACAGTAGAGAGGTAGCACATGGAAAATTCAGTGATTTTTGGTGTCTCAAGACAAACAAGTACTGGTGTAATACAAATAATGCTCTTCCAAAATAACAAAACACTACATTTAATTTTACTCCACCAACTCACATAAATGAAATACTACACTATACATGCTGTAATATTAATATTTATTTTGATGCCCTTCAAATTGTCATTGCCATTTGACTAACTCTTTTATTATGGAATATCAGTTAAAACTAGGGGTGGTAAACGAGCCGAGCCGACTCGTGAGCTCGACGAGCCGGCTCGTAAAAAGCTCGAACTCGGACTCGAGGTTTTCGAGCTCGAGCTCGAGCTCGCGAGCTCGAGCTTTCTGACGAGCCGAGCTCGAGCCGGATTTTAGTTGTTCATCAGCCGAGCCGGATTTATTATTATTTTTTTATTTGTTTTATTTTTTATATTTTATTTTTATTTAAATAATGTATAATAATATAAAATATTATAGAAATAAATACAAATATTAAAAAAATATATAATCACAATTTAGTTTTTATTTTGTATTTTTTTTAAAATAATTTTTAATAATTAAATAATTAAAAAAATATTTAAAAAAAAAAAAAAAAAAAGAGATTGGGCTCGAGCTCGACAAAATTAACACGAGCTCAAGCTCGAGCCAAAAAAAGAAGAACTCGACGAGCTCGAGCTCGAGCTCGAGCTCGAGCTCGACAAAATATACTCGAGCTCGAGCTCGGCTCGTTCACACCCCTAGTTAAAACCCCCGTGTTATTTTTTATCGCCGAAAAAACCCTTGTGATAATTTCGAAACTTAGTGTTGCCTTATGTGAAACGACCAAGTTAACCTTACAAAAGAAATATTAAAAAAAAAGAATAAAAAAAAAAAGAAACAAAAAACACACTTCTACTACATTCCGCACGTGCATTACACAATAAACTGTTAAAGGGTTTTTTTGGCTTT